GTGGATGGGCAGAGGGGAGGCTGGTCCATGACAGCGATAAATAAAAACAAAGACATGGATGTAGGTATGATCATGGGGTGAACCTAATGGGATTGGTACTAGGTTGCCATTGGAGGTGTAAGTGGGCTTTAGGTGGTAATGAATGAATGTGTGAATGAATGAATGACCATGGGTTCCTGTCTTTCATCCCTTTTGTTTCATTGGCCTGGGAGTCATGCAGGATGGATTGGGCAGGGCAATGTGGAGATAGAACACCAGCTAGTGTGTTCTTTGAACAGTTCAAGGGTCATCTGATGAGTTCCTGGATTAGGGTGTGGACTAGAAAAGCCTAAGATGGCCTTTGACAGAAGAAACAACAGGAACTGGATCTAGAGGACAAAGAAGAAGAACCAAAGATGATTGACTCACTGACTGACTGCTTGATTGATTGATTCACTTATTCAGCAGATGTTTATTAAGTGCTTCTTATTAGCCTGGCCCTGTGCCAAGTACCGAGTATACTGGTGGCCCAAATAGACATGTTCTCTTATGTAGGAGTCTCTTGCTGGTGCAAACAGTTAACATGCTTGCCTGCTAACTGAAGTATTGGAAGTATCTTAGAAGAAAGGCTTGGCAATCTACTTCCAAAAATTCAGCCATTGAAAACACTATGGAGCACAGTTCTACTCTGACACGCTTAGGGCCACCATGAGTAGCGATCAACTCGACATAATGGTAATTGGTTTATGGTTTTCTACCCTATGTCGGGGAGACAGAAAATCAAGTAAGCCAATACATGTATAATATGTCAGATAATGCTAAGGGCTGTGAGGAAACATAGGGCAGTGGAAGGGGAAAGAGAACAATGGAGAAGGTATGAGGGGCATTTTAAGCAGTTGAGCAGGGAGGTCTTCTCTGAGGAGGTGACATTTGAGTAAGACAAGTAGGATTCCGAGTTTCCAAGCCTGAGATATTCTAGGAGACTTAGAATGCTACTGCCACAGGAGGAATCCCTTGTATGGGCCCTCAAACGCCCCACAGCCATGTCCCCCATTTTGGAGCTGAGGAAATTGAGGCTCAGGGGGTCATGGGGAGCAAAGAGTTGCCCTGCTGGCCAGCATTGCAGAGTGAAATTAAACCCTGACTCTCAGCAGGACCCGACCCGCTTCTGGCTGCTGCCCCAGAAGCCCACGTGCTTCCAGCGCTGCACATCTCCTCCTTTTTCCCCTGTGGTATTTTTAGTCTCTCACAGACAGCCCCTTCCCTGAGTCTGCCGTTGCCTCCGTCATTCTGCTTGACTTGCTTTCACCTGCTCAGAGGCGGCTGTGACAGGGCTTCGAGCTGCACACGTCAAGCTGTCCCTGGCTTCACCGAGGTGGGGGTGGGGTGAGGGCGGCTGAGGGTGACCACCCTTGGCAGAGGCACTGTGGGCAGGCGGGGAGGCCTGTCAGTGCCTTGGGGTGACTGCCAGTGCCTCACAGCTCGCTATTCGGGTCAAGCCTGAGTAATGAGGGCGTGGGGAGGAGGGTGCGCCTGTCAGTGTGTGCAGGGGGTGGGTGGTGGGAGGCAGAGAGAAGGAAAGACCCGTGGGAGGGAGATGGGATTGTGTAATTTGTTTTGGAGAGAGACAAGCTGAGGAGGTGGCAGAGGTGGTAGCTTGGCAGGTGGTATTGATTGTGACGTGTGTGTTTTGTGAGAGTGTGTGAGCATTGCAGGCCTGGAGTACAGGTCTTTCCACTTGGAAGTCCCCAGTTAGTGTGTGTGAGTATATTTGAGTGTATGTATGTGAGTGTGTGTGTGAGTATACGTTAGTATATATGAGTGTGTCACCTTAGACCTGAGGCACAGGCCTTTCTACTGTGAAGTCTCCAGTGAGTGTATATGTGAGAGAGACAGTGTGTGTGAGAGAGAGTATGTGTGTGTGTGTGTGTGTGTGTGTGTGTGTGTATTTGTGAGTATGTGAGTGTATGTGTAAGCACCTTTGACCCAGGGTACAGGCTTTTCCACTGCAGAGTCCCCAGTGAGTATGTGTATGTGTGTGAGGTATGTTAGTGAGTGTGTGTATGTGTAAGCACCTCAGACCTGGGTTACAGGCCTTTCCACTGCAAAGTCCCCGGTGAGTGAGAAAGAGAATATGCGTGTGTAAGAGTATGTAACTGTATGTGTGTGAGAAAGAATATGTATGTGTGTGCAAGCATATGTGTAAGCACCTCAGACCCAGGGTATATGTTTTTCCACTACAAAATCCCCAGTATGTGTGAGTGTGTGCGTGTGCATATAAGCACCTCAGACCCAAGGTATAGGCCTTTCCACTGTGATGCCCCCAGTGAGTGTGTGTGTGTGAGAGTATGTGAGTGTATGTGTGTGTGAGAAAGAATATGTGAGTATGTGCGTGTGTAAGCACCTCAGACCTAGGGTACGGGCCTTTCCACTGTGAAGTCCCCAGGGCCACTGTTCCAGGCAGGTCCCTGGGACTGCCCCATTTCCCCTCCAGCCCAGGCTGCTGCCATGTTTTATTTCTCATCTGCTGCCCCTTCTTCTCTGTCTCCAAAGATCTCAGCAGGCCCTTTTCTTGGTTGGGAGTTTACTGCTGCTCATTACCAAAGAATGGCCTGGGGGAGGCTAGGATGCTACCCACATGACCAGTGTGGGACTTACAAAGGTTTAAAAATAAACCTTGCCAAGTTCTTATAGCCACTGTCGAAGGGGCTGCATAGCTGCCAGCTCCCTCTGTGGCTGGTCTCTTTTATTCTTAAGGGTAGAGTTCACCCTGCTGCCCTCCCTTCCCAGGTCATGCTGACCCTTTCTAGAGATGCCTGCAGGGTCATAGGAGATGCCTAATCAGGAGTCAGCCCTAGGGGACAGTGAGGTGCCAAGGTCTCCCTCACTGGCTAGAGGCCCAAGGCAGACCACAAAGGGAGGTCACAGCCAAAGCCACTCGCCAGAGTTGAGCAAGCTAGAGTGGGGCTGGGAGCTCCCCTTGAGCCCCTTCTCATGCCTTGGGCCTGAATGACAGGACTGGCTGGCTCCTCCGGACACTTGGTGGGTGGGGGTGAACACAGGAGCCCGGGGCTACCACTGCAGTTACCTTCTTGCCCCATCAGGACTTGCTCCTAACAGGCCCATCAGTTGATCAGCTGTGGGAAATAGAGTTGGCATCTTCACTCTGTGTCAATGAAGCTGGAAGGCTCAGGAGCTGGAGGAAGAGATTCTTAGCACAACAGCAGTATAGGAGAATTCCATAGATAAAGGCTTTTCAGCCAGATGGTCCTGAGTTTATATTCTGGCTCTGCACTTATTAGCTGAGTGACCTTGGGTCAACTACTTAACCTCTCTGTTGCCTCAGTTTCCTGATCTGTATAATGGGGATAATAATAGTACCTCATTCATCTGGAAGTGCTCACTGGTCTATGCCAAGAAATTTAAAAGACAGCTACCTGACTAACTGACTGGAAGAGATCCATATTTGTGTCCATTCCAAAGAAAGGTGATCCAACAGAATGCGGACATTATCGAACAATATCATTAATATTACACACAAGCAAAATTTTGTTGAAGATCATTAAAAAATTGTTGCAGTAGTACATCGACAGGGAAGTGCCAGAAATTCAAGCTGGATTCAGAAGAGGACCTGGAAAGGGGGATATCATTGCTGATGTCAGATGGATCTTGGCTGAAAGTAGAGAATACCAGAAAGATGTTTACCTGTGTTTTATTGACTATGCAAAGGCATTCGACTGTATGGATCATAAAAAATTATGGATCACATTGCAAAGACTGGGAATTTCAGAACACTTAATTGTGCTCATATGGAACCTGTCTATAGACCAAGAGGCAGTCATTCAAACAGAGCAAGGGGTTACTGCATGGTTTAAAATCAGGAAAGGTGTACGTCAGGGTTGCATCCTTTCACCATACTTATAAAATCTGTACGCTGAGTAAATAATCCAAGAAGCTGAACTATATGAAGAAGAACACAGTATCAGGATTGGAGGAAGACATTAACAACCTGGGATATGCAGATGACATAAACTTGCTTGCTGAAAGCGAGAGGACTTGAAGCGCTTACTGATGAAGAGCAAAGACTACAGCTTCAGTGTGGATGACACCTCAACACAAAGACAACAAAAATCCTCACAACTGGACCAGTAAGCAACATCATGATAAATGGAGAAAAGATTGAAGTTGTCAACAATTTCATTTGACTTGGATCCACAAACAATGCCCATGAAAGCAACAGTCAAGAAATCAAACAACGTATTGCATTGGGCAAGCCTGCTGCAAAAGACCTCTTTAAAGTGTTAAAAAGCAAAGATGTGACTTTGAGGACAAAGTACACCTGACCCAAGCCATGGTATTTTCAATCACCTCATACGTATGTGAAAGCTGGACGATGGATAAGGAAGACCAAAGAAGAATTTATGCATTCCAATTATGATATTGGTGAAGAATATTGACTATTCCATGGACTGCCAGAGGTCTGTCTTGGAAGAAGTACAGCCAGAATGCTCCTTAGAAACAAGGATGGCAAGACTTCATCTCACGTACTTTAGGCATGTTATCAGTAAGAACCAGTCCCTGGAGAAGGACATCATGCTTGATAAAGTAGAGGATCAGCAAAAAAGGGAAAGACCCTCAACGAAATAAATTGACACAGTTGCTGCAACAATGGGGTCAAACACAGCAACGATTGTAAGGATGGCACAGAAACAGGTAGTGTTTTGTTCTGTTGTACATAGGATTGCTATGAGTTGGAACCAATTCCACTGCATCTAATAACAATAGCACTTACCGCATGGAGTTGTGAAGATTTAATAAGATAATACAGGTGAGTAGCTGAGTGATTTGGGGCAAGTTACCTAAACTCTCTGGGCCTCAGTTTCCTCATCTGTAAAATGGGGTTAATATTAGTACTCATGTTGTTTATGAAGATCAAATGAGGTGATACGAGGCAGGTGTTCAGGGCCTCATGTAGCACGTGCTCAATAACAAGCATCCCGATATCCCCAATGTCTCCCCAGGCTCGTGGCTCTGCGGGTGGCAGGAGGAGGCATGACGCTGCCTCTCAGGAAGACCAAGACAAACCTTACGTCTGTGACAGTAAGTACTGGCCGATCCCGCCTTCCTTCGTCTGCCCCCTCCCAGCCCCGTGCTCCCCTGACCTTCCTTGGCTGTTTTCCCCGGGCAGCCTCAGGCTCACTCACTACCTCCTCTTTGGGCCAGCAACCCTGGCTTGCATGCCTGTCAACTCCACTGCAGTCACCACCTCCTCTTGCTGCTGCTTCTAGCCCTGGGGTGTTTCTGCACGAAGGGGAAGCAAGTGAGAGCAGCCTCCCAGCCTTTGATGCCTCGCGCCTCTCTCCAGCAGTGCCCTCTGTTTTCCTCCTCCTCTCTCTCCTTCACTCTCTCTGTCTCCTTTAAGCTTCATCCCCTATTTCTTTCTCTGTTTCAGAGAGTTACAAACAAAAGCATAACTCAAAAACCTCCGACAAAAGTACTTGGCTCTTGTGACTTTTCATTTGTTCCCTTTTAATTTCCTCTCTCCCTCTCCTTTCCTACAGTTAGGAAATTATGAATCTTTTCTGACGACGACTTAGTTTAATAAATGTCCCTCGATCCATCTCCAGCCTTTCTCGCTTGCTTCAGAAACATCTTTTTGACAAGCGGCTGCCTGGCTCCTGGGTTCAGGGTCGGCAGACACAGCAGGGAGGGGCTGAGGGAGAGGAGTCGCTGGTCCTAGGGCAAGTGGAGGTGGGTGGACCTCAAGAAGCTGTCAGCTTTAGGAAGGATGGCCGTCAGCCTCGAGAGAGCTTGTTTCTTCCTCACCTGCCAGAGCGCTGGGTGGTGGGTTTAAAATCCTTGCCCTAGTTGTCTTTGCACTGCATCGGGCACCATCTGCTGATTCCATGGTGAGGGCGGCACTCACACCGCACTCTCTGTTGATCTTCCTTTGTCTTCTTCTCTCTGAGGACGCAGACCGTGCGATCGGAGAGGAGGGGCTGCAGTGAGAATGGCAGGGGGCAGCTCAGGCCTGACTCTGGCACCCTGGTCACCCCTACATCTTGCCAGTGTTTGTAGATTCTCTGTGAAGGCAGGGAGAGGACCAGGGGAAGGGAGGGGCACAGGGAGTAAGTCGGGATTGGTGCCTTTTTCCTCCCTCTTCACTGGCCCCTGGATTTCAAAAAGTTGTTCTGTCCCGGCTGGGTTGACAGCTGGTTGGAGAACATTTTGCTACAAGAACTCAAACTCCATGACCCCTATTTGGCTGCTTAATACACTATGCAGATATCATTGCTGAGACGACTCTGGCAGGTAACATCTCCACCCGAAGCAATTCTGTTCCAGAACGAACAGGGAGCAGGGCAGAGGGTCTGATGGCACCTGGCAATGCCCAGAGGGGTCTGCTTTCCCTGGGTCTTGCTTCCTGGGTAGGGTTCAGTTTTGTCCTGATGCATAAAAGCCCAAGCATGCTACTCCTAGGGGGACTATGGTTCTGGGACTGTGTGCTGGGAAGGGTCCTCAGACCCCTGGGAAGCAGGCTTTCTAGTCTCATCTGGCTGGAGCAGCCCATCTAGTAAGCAAGCCAACAGCTGCTGTGGAACTGAGGCATTGCCACCCTATTCCTCTTTTAAAAAGTTTATTTGCATTATGTGACCACAGACAGTGGGATTCTGCTATCATAGATAGTGGGATTACTTTTTGCTCTATCTCTACAGCTTTCATTGGATTTCCAGCCAATAATAATCCATCTGTTCCCAAACACACCCTGTGTGCCTTTTTCTTTTGCTTCACCCACCTCCCCATTCCTCTCTCACCCTTTGCCTCTGAAGCCTACCTCTTCACATATTATCTCCATGAAGCCCCCTTTGTGGGTGTGCCTCTCTTGCCTGGTTCCCTACTTTTGGGGCAAAGTGCTTCAATCACAGCTTCCTCCAAGCTCCTGGGGCTTTGTTTAGGGATCTCAATGACATTTGCTGTTTCCCCTCCCACGTGGTCTCTTCCTCCTTGTGTTTACCCTGTATTGCTTGGGAGACCTCATCATAGACCTGATTTGGGCTTTCTGGAAGTCTCTGCAGCTGCTTTGTTGGCTCTGCCTGCACATGTGCTGCCTCCCTTTTCCTCCCTCTTTGAGGCAAGGTCCTGCAGATTGCCCTTCTCTGTTCTGGCTCTCTTAGGAAATTGTGTGGCAGCTCTGTGATTAATAGACTTTATTTTTATCTGGTACCCTTCAGACATGTGATCCTTTGGGATAGAAATGACCTTTGGAGAGGTCATAAGGCCCCTCCTTACCCTCCCCCAAACAAATGGGCCAGGAATGCTTTTAATAATCTCTAATGCATCCTAAGTAGAGAGGTGTCTGGTCGCCTCCTTGAATGTCCCCAGGGATGGTGTTACCATAAGCTGCCCTTTCTTCCATGATTCCAGCTGTGCTTTGAATGATTGTTTTCCCTTAATATGAGCTGAAATTTTTCTGTCCTACAGGCCCCCTTGCCTTTTGTGCATCTTCCCCCATCAAATAGGCACATCAGCATTTTGTCTATTCTGGGGGCTCTCTTGGCATCCCCTCATATTCTTGGTTGACCTAGGGACACCGTAATCTCTGTGACTCCCTGCTCCGAGTTCCCTTCCAGACCTGCACTGAAGCATAACACTCCCATTGGAAGTAGCATGAAGGCCAAGTGGCTCAAAGAGTAACAGACACATTTCCTTGTTTATTTTACACATCAGCTCTCAACACACCCATATCTGTAGAGAATAGAAATATTTGGCCACCCCATTGCACTGGGCAGCATCTTCTCAACCTCCCAATCAGTGCCTGTCCTGACCCCAGTGTTTATGCCTCTCCAGGTGTATTGTCTTTTGTATGAATGCATTTCATTATTCCTTCTTCCATAAATCACTCTGCATTTGGTCCTATTGAGTCTCAATAAAGAGATGCAATAATATGTGACTTCAATATACAAGATTCAATAAAAACAAATTTAAAGACATTGCCCAGTAGTTAAATTTCATTCTCCACCAATTTGCAATCCCTGCCATTTTTGTATCCTCTGTGGTTTGATTTGCATAATTCCCACTCCATCTTTCAAGTTATTTACGAAAATATTAGGCCACCTTGGACCCCAACACCTCTTTCTGGGTTTATATGGAGTGGTAATAGCTATTTTTCAAATGGGATTGAATTTAATCCCTTCTGGTATTTATTTCTGAATATAGTTATCCTATTATGTTCTTGGCCCAAACTTCTCTTTCAAGGTGGGTAGTTGAAATATTATCTCAGTCACTAACTTCAGGTGATAGATAGCTTGCCTGCTGCCTTTCATTCAACCATTGAATTTATTCCATTCCAGAGAAATATTAAATCATCTGAATGTAATTTATATTTTGCCCAATCCATGGTATGTATGGATGAATACTTCATTTTCCAGCAAGTAACCAATCTCCAGAAGTTCACTAAACTTAAGAAGTGAAGTTCTGCCTCTTCCCTTTCAATCCCTTGCCAAAGGAAAAGAGTTAATTATCCGCAAATAAAGCAACTTAATATGATTTTGTGGGAAAGGCTGTCAGGGTTTGTCAAATTGTGGTGGGCCCTGGACCACCTGCACAGAAATTACCTAGATGCTTATCAAAAATGTAGATTCCTGGTCCTCACACCAGGCCTCCTGCATCAAAATCACTGGAGGCAGGCCCAGGGACCTGCATTTTCTCTGAGCTCCTCAGGGGATTCTTATGAATGTTGACTTTGGAGAACACCCGGCCTCCTTCATTCAAACTTGGAGATTTCTGGCCTCTGACTGCTCAGCTCTTTTATTATTCCCTGCTTTGTGAATCTGGAAGTTCTCGAGTCTCCAGGAATTCTCCAGGCAGAGTGCCACTGACTTGCATCATTGTTTTAGCTGGTCTCTCTAGAATCTTTCCAGTTCTTTCAGCGTTGATATAAAACTCGGCATCTAACAGATGACTTTAATTTACAGCTTTAAATCCTAATAGTAACATTAGCCCCACTTTATAGGTGGGATGAAAACTGGGAGCAGATATGTGAAAGGAATCCTTGGGTTTGGGCTACTAGGATGCTTTACAATTATTTTAAGAGTTTGCCTCTTCTCTTAACTGCTCCCACTCCTGAATTTTCTGTTAGCATTGTTGGGGCAGACTTCTAATGAGAGGCCCCTTTTTCCATTTTCTTTGTTCAAAGAGCATCATAGAAAAGAAGATGGTAATCATGAGGTGATATTCAGGAAGAACATTTTGGCTTTAAGTGTTTGCCATATAGGGAAGAGTAAAGCAAGCATCTGAGGGCAATGGTGGTACAGTGGTAGAATTCTCACCTTCTATGCAGGAGACCCAGGTTCAATTCCCGGCACAGCCACCATCCCTCATGCACAGCTACCACTCATCTGTCAAGGGAGGCTTGTTCGTTGCTATGATGCTGAACAGGTTTCAGTGTAGCTTCCAGACCAAGACAGACTACAACTTTGGAAAATCAGTGATTTACTTCATTAAATCAGACAATGGAAACCTTGTGGATCACAGTGATCTGGTCCTGTTGGGCATGGGGTCACCATGAGTTGGGTGCCCACTGAATGGCAGCTAACAACAACAACCCTTTTTCTGGGTGCAATGGAAGTGATTTAATTTCCCCCTTGCATTTTTTTTCTGACCACAGTGATAACTCCTATTAACTGGATACTTATAGTGTACAGGGTACTGTGATAAGCATTTTATATATAATATCTCTGTAAATCCTCATACTAACCTTGAGAGGCAGGGACAGTTACCTCACTTTGCTGGTGAAGAAACTGAAGCTCTGAAAGGTGAGGGAACTCCTCCAAGGTCACACAGCTGGCTAACACTAGAGCTGGGATATGAACCCCAATTTATCGAACTCTGGAGTTGACACCCCCTAGGATATCTACTGTATAAACTGCAGGTTAAACATGCCCTCTTAACCTTGGACTGTGATTGTCCTGAGAGTTGAGGCCAAAAAAAAAAACCCATGTTTTAAAAGTTAATTAATGAGCAAGTACACCTTATTTATGAGGTAAAGCCCTGTCCACTGTAGACAGATGGCTTCTAGGTGTCAGACTGACAAGCTGAAG